CTTGAATTATATTATTTATATAAGCAGTATGTTTATTATTAATATTAGTGATAGACTTAAAAACAAAAATTAATTTACATTAGTCAATTCTTGAAGAAAAAAAATATTTTCAGTAGATCATAATGAAAAAAGTTGGACCACCACTGGTTAAGTTACTATGGTACTATGGCTATGATCATTACAATGAATAGATGTTGTATAGCAAAAATAATATAATAAGCAATAGGAATCTTGATTATTTACCTGTATGAATTGAGTCTTTTGTCATTCTTTGCAATAATCGCATCGCTGTTGTATACACAATCTGGGCTTTATTTCCAAAATGTAAAGAATCAATACAACGCGGTAGGAAAACACTGGGATCAAGGCTAAGCTCTGTCAAAGTCAATTTTTGTATCATTCTCAGGTATATTTTTCCCAAAGCAAGTGCATTAACTCCACTGGCATAAGCTACATCTAATAGCACGTGCATAGTGCCTTCTATACGACAAGCTATAGAAACAGATGCTGCATGGGTCAGGTTAGACTTTATTCCTGACATTAAGTTCTTTTTCAATGCCATATTGTAATAGATGCGAGCATTTTTTAATGTTTGAGGACTAAGTTTGAGACTGTTGCCTAATAGTTGTATTCCAAGTCTAGCTTTGGATCGAGATATTTCTGGAGACCGTTGATTCATGTTGAAGTGGAATGCAGTTTGTACATCACTGGAATCGAGGTTCACAGAACCACAGCCTGAACGCTTCATCACTGCTGCCTTAAACCTCATTATACAAAAATAATAATAATATTAGTTGATAAACTTATCAACAAGAATTAAATGAAAACAAAATTGCAACCTAAAGTATGCTTAATGCTTAAGTACTTGAACTAAAATTAGTGTGTAATAATATTATGATAATTGGGGTTCCTATGACAAAAAATAAAAATCATTCTGATATTATATAAAAAGTATCATCTATTTTAAATGCCAATTGTCCGGTTGATGAAATTAGTAATGCCTTCCGAATGAATCCAAAACATGATAATGGTAAACTAGTTGTTTGTTTTAAAAATAAAATAATCAAAGATGAGATTCTTTAAAAAAATGTTAAATCATTCTGAGAGTTATAATTCATTAAAAGCTAATAAAATACATAGTTTTCATAAATTATGAGTTAACCACAACTTATCAAAAGTTATTTTGGGTTTCCAAACTGTAAGCTAAAGAATATTCATACAGATATGTATGGTCTACTTCGGAAAGAGTATTTATGAGGAAATCAGATGTAAATAAGTTTATTAAAAAGTCATTTCATCGCTGCAATCACAACATATGGATATCAATAGAAAATTTGATGATTGTTTCTTATCTTAATCTTTTATAGTGTATTAGACCAACATTTTTATACTATATACCTACTTTATGACTCTTGATGCCCTTCTTGATATACAAGGTAAGTTTTATAATAGTTGTAATGCTAACAGTAGGATATTAAATTATTTACGTCAATTTTCTATTAATTATAATAGTAGGTATATAGGTATGTATTTTTATCTTTAAACATTAGTAGTATTAATGCACATTTAGATGAACTTTTGTTGTATTTAAATGTTTAAAACTGTGGTTTTTATGTTATAATTGTATGTGAAACATGGTTATTATTTGATTTCAACTTCAAATTAAATTGTTATATCAATATTAAATCTGCAGCTTTGCTCAATAAAAGTGATGTCGTTTCTATGTTTATTATAGATGATATACTTGTTTTAAATTAAAATAAACGCATCCTTAATAGTTGTAATGCTTTAGAAGTTTCATTAATTATTAGATTTAAACATGTAACAGTATATGGAATTTATGGATCGCCTAACGATATTGTAAATAACTTTTTAATTCATTTCAATTTATAATTATCAAAATTTAATAATAAACAATGTGTAATTATACGTGGTGATTTCAATACTAATATCTTAAGCAATAATATAAAAACTAATGAGTACCTTCATCATATCAATTATAGCATATATTGTGTCGAGTAGTAATAAAACTTTTGGTTCGCAATGTACATCAATAGTAAGGTCAAATTTATGTAAGAAATTGAATATTAATTTATTTAACTTCAAAAATGTTAAGGAATTTAAATTTTTTTTGTAAAATCTGGACTTTTACAATATTTTAAATACAAATTACATCTTATGAACTGAACTCTACTCTCACAATACAAGCTATGCTTACAGGGAGGGTTGCATATTGTTTATTTGTCTATTTTATAAGTGTATTGTGTACTTTTTTTGCAAAAATTATTATTATTTTTATCGTTATAAACTTCAAATATAATATAATTGATGTGGCTTTACAACGCTGACAACAAATATGTCCACTTGCAAAATTGAAATTACAAGGCTTAATACTTGTTGGGAAAATGAGCGTTGGAGTAGGTATGGTACAACGTAGAAATTAATATCATCGAGGACTAGGGCTAGACTTAGTTAAAAGATCGTTGATGATAGTGATTAAGACTGTACTTCTAAAAGTCCATTATGAGCCCAGTAACTCAAGTGAGACTAGTTGGTTCAAGCAAAGAAGTTGTTCGGAATCAAATCGAAAATGAGATGTAAGTTTAATAAAAAATAGTAACATGTTGTACTTAAACAGACTAATATATTGCTGTACCCCCAAGGCCGGATGGTTCAAGTGTTTCAATAAATGTACAGGCCGCCTGAATAGTAAAATCGCGTGGAATCGCCATTAGTGTCAAAAATCTGTTGGTTCATGGCAGTGCATGTACTGATGTCCCGTCATATACATATATGCTTAAGATAGCCAGGGGAACGCACGAGTTGGTTCACACTAGGATGTGATTGACCTCAAGAAAGCGCCTTGAAAGATTTAGAAATAACAACTAAAATAATTGGGTGCGCAGTTCTGAAAATTCAACAACCTAAATTGCGTTGTGAAAGATATATGAAGATAATTAAAAACATAAATATCTATGGGCATATATATTAAATATAATAAATATTATTTTATTTTAATTAAATAGCCGTCAGATAATATGTCTAATATGTTGACAGCGGCAACCGCATAGGAGGCGGCTGTTTCCTGGAAACCGTACGCACACGTGCTATAGTAAACGTGGTCAGCGCTATCTTATCGTTAGGAGAGGAGTGGAGATTATGCCTATAAAACAGGGACCCAGTCACCCGATATTTAGACTTGATTTACCAAAGCCAGTACGAGCACCTTCACGCCAGTCGACTCTCTGATAAATTTCAGTGTTATAAAAATATTCTATCAGTTTTACATGTCAAATAAAGTCTATGTTCATAATAATCTAAAATTGACTTAGAAATTATTACACCTTGTCATCATTCATCTTGTAAACCACAATCTGTGGGCTGGACCACTACAGCAGACAAAATGATTGACTAATTTAGTAATTATACCTTTCACGTTTGAGATTTCATAGTTCGTACACCGTCCTGTTCTTAATTTGCACCACGCTAATATACACTACACTAAACCAAACTAAAATTATGAATTTTATTATGCACTCAATGACTAAGCGGCTGCAAAATTGGCGTTGACCAAGAAAAACACGGCATAGAGACCTTGTGTTGATAAGTGTGAGTTGTATTCAGAGACAGATAGTGTATTAAGCATGAACCAAGATTCAAGATTGAAAGAAAATATAGGTAGCGCACTAGTCGATATTAGTGATACACATGTTATATTTTTCATTAGTCAATAGTCATAATAAAGTTGTTTTAGTCTGCTTTTAGTCTGTCTATTTTGTTAAAATGTTTGAATCAGTAATAGAAATAACTGACATCATTCAGTACATTGGTGATTTTAAAATTTTTGTATACTATAAATGTATGCCATCACATTTTGGTAAAGCATAAATCTAATAATTTATATGATTCTTACAAAGTTAGTAATTACTATTTACTATTTTTAAATTTTATTTTTGTTACCTACCTACCTGTCCTAGCTTGAAGTTATTGTTTCAAATACGAAAGATGTTTTGTCCGCGAAATGCTCATGTAAAGCGGGAACAGGGAAATGCAAACATGTTGTGGGCTTAATGTTAAAACTGCAAAAGTATGTACCTATCTACTAGATTTTAGAAACCCATAAAAGATTCATTATTTATTTTCATATTATTATTTTTTAATACCTATGTATTTAATTTTAAAATAGGACCCCTGAAAATGAATTGGAGCTGTGGAGCTGTACTGGTCTTCCTCGACAATGGGGGAAAAATAGTTCTACTTCGAAAAACATGTATAAAGCAGTTTCATTAGAAGAGTTCTGTCATGTTCAACCTATGAAGTCTAGGTACAGCCAAACCCTACCAGATGATGATAATATACTTGATGACTTAAAAGACAAAATTGTACAAGAGTTTTTATTAGGTAAAAATAATTTTTAGAGGTCTTTCTAGTGTTGTAAAGTATTTCACTGCAAGTCTGGGCAAGTTAATGATTTTTTTTAACTCAGTTAAGTTAAGTTAATATGCTCCAATAACAAAAAGTTTTAAAAAAGTTTATTTGTTTATACAACTCTAGAGTACTTAATTATTTTCCAATCCAAAACTAAATTATAGACTATAGTGGTTATACTTTATACAGTACTTCCATATAAGTTAGATTCTATTATTCAAATGATATAGTATATGTATATTTCATTAGGATTTCCTGATTCAAAATTTGCTATTCATAAGTTTGGACGACATGAAATACCAGAAATACAAAATGAAAAAACATTAACCATTTCGGAACAAGACCTATTAAATTATATTTTAGAAACAAATAGTTCTGTACTATTCAATGATAAAGAGTACCTGAAGTTGATTGAAGGTAAATCACAAGATGAAATTGATTTTTTTATGCAAATGTCCATGTTGATCGTAAAAAAGTTGAACAAATGTTTTCTAACACATATCAACAAACTGGTTTTTATGGTTCAAAAGAAAGGTGGTCTGCAGGATTGGGATGCACCTGGAGGATTCTGGCTAGGGGCCACTGAGTGGGAGCCATATTTTCTTTCTCGAGGAGGACAGATAGTTGACTTGAAGGTTAGGCTGGGAAGTTGTCCATTTAGAACGTTGTTGTAGTGTAGCCAGATAATCTTGAGACCATTGTTTCCAAAAGGACTGCTGTAGTTTCTGTATTCTATTCCACCTGGTGAGTCGATCGGTAGGTGTTGGCTCAGGAATGTTGACTTCAGGTAGTGAAATAGGAGCTTTACCTAACAAGAAATGCCCGGGAGTCAGTGCTGAGTAATCAGTGGCTTCCATACTGGCGGGGCAAAGTGGTCGAGAGTTAAGTTGCTCTTCGACTTGACAAAATAGTGTGTATAATTCTTCACATACAAAGACACTATTAAGAGTTATGCGTTGGAGTATGCGTTTACAAGATTTGATATTAGCTTCCCAAATACCACCAAAATGGGGTGAGGCTGGTGGGATAAAGTGCCAGTCTATCTCTCTGGGCAAACAGAAAGTGTTCAGGGCTGAGTTCAATTGTTGAGAGCACAACAGTTTATACACCCCATGTAGTTTATAATGTGTACTAGTAAAATTTGTACCATTATCACTATTCATTTTAGTTGGATAGCCTCGCCTGGCAACAAAACGTTTCAGTGTGGCGATGAAGGTATCTGCTGATAAGTCAATCACTATTTCTAGGTGTACAGCCTTGGTGGTCAGGCAGATAAAGAGAGATAAATATGTTTTGTACACAATTCTTGAACGTCCAACTGAGGGTTTAGTAATGGAAGGTCCGGCAAAATCAACTCCACAATGACTGAACACTGGTGCATAATCAACTCTACAGGCAGGTAAGTCAGCCATGAGTTGGTGGGTTTTGACTTGTCGAAATCTGTAACACTTAAATCAATCATGAAGAACCTTTCTGATGATGCTGCGCCCGTGTACAACCCAATACTTCTGCCGCACCAGAGACATAGTGACATTGAGACCAGCATGCTGGTGGAGAAGGTGGATGGAGAGTATGACCATTGTTGTGTACAGATGTGCCTTTGGTAAGAGAACTGGATGCCTCATGTAATAAGGTAAACTAGATTGAGTGAGTCCACCACCAACGTGTAAGACCCCTGCTACGTCAAGGAAGGGGTGTAGACTGACCAAAGTACTGGATGACTTGACGGGGAGACCCAGTTGTAGCTGATGAATGTCGAGTGGAAAGCATTCCTCTTGTACTAACCGGATCCATTTTAAGTTGGCTGATCGCCATTCACACACAGTTGGTAATCCAGTTAAGTGAAGAGTCAAATCCGAATACTTAGCTAGAAAGTTGGAGTTAAACGCGTCAACTTCTGTGGTCACATGTGTGGTCACATGTGTGGTTACATGTGGTTTACGTTCCTCTTGACGAGTTTGATTGTGATCCTCACATTCAAACGTAGACTGTGGCCATGGATTGGGAGGTAATAGCCATTGTGGACCATGCCACCACAAGGCATTCGTAATGAGTTGATCACCTGACAGGTCCCTGGAGGCCAGGTCCGCTTGATTGTCTTGGGACGGGACATGCCGCCACACCGCTGATGGGCACCAGGTTTGAATTTGACTCACTCGATTGGATACGAGGGTGGTCCACCGGTGTGGATCACTCTGAATCCACTGTTGATGGTAGAATCCGTCCACAAGTTGATTGATTCAATTTTGATTGTAGACAGTGCCTCTAGTAGGTGTTTGGTCAAGGATGCTAACAACGTAGCACCACACAACTCAGGCCTTGGTATTGATTGGGTCTTTAGAGGTGCGACTCTGGTCTTAGACAGAACTAAATGTGATGATGATTCGCCATCAGGAAACACCGACACTAGGTAAAGAGCAACAGCATAAGCTTGTTCCGAACTGTCACTGTAACCGCGCAGACTATATGTGGTTACCCGAGTGTGTTCGTCATTGCAATGTCGTGGTAATTCAAAGGAGCGAAGAGCACTGTAGGAAGATCGATGATCCGACCACCATTTGCTCATTGTGTCTAGCAGCGGGTCGTCCCAATCCAACTTGTTCTTCCACGGGTGTTGCAAAATGATCTTCGCCACGATCACAAGTGGGCTTAACCATCCATACGGATCAAAAATCCTCGCAATTTCCGAAAGTAATAGACGTTTAGTAAATGTTTCACCAACCTTGGAATTCAACATGAAATGAGAACGTATCTCGTTGAGCATTCCAACAAATACCCAATAGTTTGATTGACGGATCCATGTGGTCGATCAGTGTTAGTTGAGTGGCTCTTAGTGCTGTAGGAATGTGCGTTAAAACTGTTTCGCAGTTGGTGGCCCACTTACGTAATTCCCACCTCGGGCGAGCAAGTGCAGCAGCTCCTGGTGTAGCTTGATTGTGGCAGTAATATCATCTCGTCCGGTCATTACTTCATCTACATAGAAATCTCGCTGTAGCACCGCAGATGCTTCAGGATGAGTCCCTTGCTCGTCGTAGGCCAATTGCTTCAGGACTCGTAAAACATGATATGGTGATGTACTGATGTGATAAGCCCATAAGTCACCGTATTTAAGGTATAACTTCTTATTGGACTAGATTCATTTAGACGCCAGGCAATACCTTGGTAGACACGATCGATGGGGTGTACTAAGATTTGTCGGAACATCTGTCGAATATCTGCGGTAATAACATAACGAGGTAGACGGAAACGGATTAATATGTCAATTACCTTTTTTTGTAATTTTTGTCCGTTGTGAAGTAGTTCGTTCAATGAGTTTCCTGTGTCCATAGTGCACGATCCATCGAACTCAACACGAAGCTTAGTAGTGGTACTTGATGGGTTTAAGACTTGATGATGTGGAATGAATATGATCGGACGTGGGCTAGTGGAATCAACTATTGTCATGTGGTTGGTTGTTTCATAATCACTCATGAAGTCTTTTTGGAGCTGATGTAAGGCAGGTTTGGTCTGCAGACTTCTCTCGACTTTCTTCAAGCGTTGAACAGCGAGCTGGTAAGAATTATTCACTAGCGGGGATTTTTTAACAAAAGGAAGTCTTACAGTATAACAACCAGAGCTGTCTCGAGTAAATGTCTCAACGAAGAGCTTTTCACACTGTCGGTCTTCTTTGGGTATACATGTAAGGCGTGGTACCTCTTCCAGTTCCCAAAATCGGTTCACAAGTGATTCAACTGTAGTGGTACAACACGTGACTGACTTAAACATGGATAGATCATTGTGAGGTTTAGTTAATTTTCCACATACTATCAAGCCAAAGATAGAATTGTGTAACGACGGCGTATCTTTGGGTCCTTGTATTTTACAATCTAACATTATATCCAAACTGTATTCAGCACTTATGAGTAAGTCGATTTTGTTAGGCACATGGAATGTTGGATCCGCTAACTCAACCTGTTCCAAATGAGTCCACTGTGAAATATCCACGGCTACAGTGGGTAGATCAACAGTTATCTTAGGAGACACTAAGGCAGTTAACTTTATTTGTCTACCATTCGTTCTAGGAGAAATATTGAACGTTGAAACTTGAGATGTGGTTGTAGAAGCATTTGATACACCATCAATTATCATTGGATGATGCAATGTTTTTAAACCTAACCGACTTGCTAAGGCTTTAGTAATAAAATGTGATTCTGAAGCAGTGCCTATTAATGCACGGCATAGTTCTAACCGTCCACTTGGTCCATGTACGCGCACTACTGCTGTTGATAATATGTCAGTTGACTTTTCTCTTAACGCATCATGATTGACTGCCACAGCGTCTATCCCACTAGATGTTGATGGTTGTGTATTGATAGTCAACGTGAGCACTTCAGAAGTATTTTTATCGTCCTTAGAGTCACCAAAGTGTAGAAGTGTATGGTGTTTACCACCACATTCTTCACATGTTTTGTCAGATGAGCATTGACTGGAAGAATGTGAGGCCCGTAGACAATTTATACACAATTTGGCCTTCTTAGCCAATGCATGTCGCTCACTTGCTGTTGACTTCATAAATAAATTACACTGATAAATAATATGATGCTGCGAACAAATATTGCATGGCTGCTTATTACCTTGTGCTGCAGTCACAGTATGAGTTGATGCTCGACTGTTGAATTTGTTGGTAAGCTTAGATTTGGGTGTACTAGATGATTGTAGTTGTAATAAATCTAACACATGTATTCTTTTTTCCATAAATTTACACATTTGTGACCAAGATGGATACTCATAGGCAGATGATTCAATTTCTCATGCCTTTCTGAGTTCATTTGGTTAACGGGATGATATAAAGTAAATTACAATTGTATCCCACGACTCAATAGGTTGTTTTAATACTATTAAGGCTCTAAGATGTTTATTTGTTGTATCAACCAACGCCTTCAAAGAACTAACCGCTTCACTTTGAATGTGTGGTTGATTGAACAAATGTTGTAAGTGTACTTGTAGAATAAGACGCTCATTATCATAACGGTTTGTCACCAAAGATTTGGTGATCTGAATTATAAGTATTTTAAAATGTATAAAAAATTTACAATTTTAAAATACTCATAACTCGCGTTAAAATTAAAATATAATAAAAAACCTATGAGGTTGACTAGATAATAATCTTACCTTTAGATTTTATAAAAGGTCAATTCGCACTAATATTTAAACAAAAGGAGCTACACGTGTTCTGCTGAGCGTAAAATTTGCTATGTTACGCACTTGTAAAACAAAGACAACACATGCAGGTATCACGTCCTCTTAAGATAGACATTGATTTGTAATATAACAATCATGATTATCCTTTATCAACTGACTAAATAGTAAATTTTATCTTTTATTGTTATACTAATCGTATCGCGTATACAATTTAAGACAAAATATATTATACCACACTCGTCTGTCGTCTGTCGATGTTTATCTACTTTCACAAAAACGTACCTACGGTAAATTTTATTAAGTTTTATTTCTGTGCTCGTTTCTGTTTCGTTTTTTTGTTTTTTAATAATCAAATGAAGAGAGGAGCCCTTGACAATTTTTTTAAACCAAAAACAACCATTTACTAGTGCGCTTTTAAATCATCATGAAAGTACATCAATAATTGATGCATCAAATATTGTGAGTACTAGTATTATTGACATTGGAACTGTTTCAAATCAATTATTTCAAAATAAATCTTCGACCTCCAATAAAAATATTTTTAAAAGTAATGTTTTAAATTCAATATTTATTCTGGCGTCTTTTGTAAATACTATGTTTTGTTTAGTAAAGATTATGTTAACAAAGGTTCTAATCAAATATTGGATCTCTAGTAAGCAAACCATTCATAAAATGGAAAGATTCAATCGAAAAATTTACATCACATTCAAATACTGATTATCATCGATTTTGTACCTTAACTAATATTTATACCTACATTTTTTTTATAATATATATGGCATTCTGTAGGTCATTATGAATTTAATTTTTGATTAATTAATAAGAATGGTTAAAATTACTTATTATTATTTTTTTTTCGCTTTTATAAATTATAAATGTCCAGATTTAATAAATCAGTTTTATTTTGAAGGTAGAAAAATTCTGTGTATTTGTAATACTAAAATAACAATAAGAAAAGTATTCCAAGTAAATTGAATAGTGATATATTATGCAAAAGTAGTATGAACAAGGTCTTATGCTGTTGTACTTATAACTGCCCGTTTCTTTGCAAATGCAATGAATACTTGTTCAAGGGTTGTGTCACTAACAGTAAAGTCTTCAATTACAGTATAATTTTCTTTAATTGCTTTCATCTTACCAAATATCTCGGACAATAGTATATTTGGATTAGTTATATGATAATGCAATAAACCCTGCAACATAAATAACATTTTAATATCAATACATTTATACATGTACACTCTGACACGTATTTAGAGAAGGGGCAAGTATACCTTGTTACTTTTGGTGACAAATAGTTTGGTCCATTTTTGGGGAGGTCAATTTTTAATGACATATTATTGTGTATTAATTGTATCAAAAAATAAATATATTCATATTATATTTTAAATATAATTATGCCCTATTAAGAGCAATTATTATAGTTCAACAATGTACATTTGTTTCATAAATTATAGTCGGAAAATAATATTAATAATTACAAAATATATTTAAGGTAAACTATGGACCAACAAAGGTGTTTTACATTGGCGTTATTGACAATTGAATCAGTTTTTTATGAAATTTTTGCTTTTTTCAGTTTATATGTACCTATTTCATTTTTATAATATATAAACATTATTAATACAGTGTGAACAATATAATTAGTAATGAGTCTAAGTCCTTACAAAATTTGATTGCAATAAATTGTAAATAATATTAATTTTTCGCATAGGCCGTTTTCTCATAAGGTACTGTAATTAAAGTAGTGTAATGCATAGTTTGGACCGCTGATTTGGTAATTAGTTAACCTTAAGTACCTACTTAAATAAAATAAAACCATAATAGCTCAATCTCACCTTATGTTCATCTTTTAAGCTAATGTCTGAAGTAAACTGACTTTCTATATCAGATTTTAGTTCAGTAACATTGAAATTGTCAGTATTACGTAGTTTTACCATTATTGTAAATCCTTGTCCATAACGATTTTTCAAATATTGTATATTACCAATACATTTCAATACACCATCCACCATTATTGTCAAACGGTTGCAAAGTGCTTCACATTCGTCCATACTAATTATGTAAATCAAAGAATTATATCTCAGTATGGATATTGTTTACACAATGTTTTTACCTATGCGATGTAAGTACAACGGCTTGTCCACCTCTTCGACTAGCAGCTAATAATTGCCATAAATTACGTCTTGCCACGGGATCTACTCCACTAGTGGGTTCATCCAAAAACACAACAGGAGGATCTCCAATTAATGCGATTGCAGTGTTTAATTTTCTCTTATTTCCACCACTATATGTCCCACAGAGTCGATCTTTATGTTCTTCAAGTCCTATAACAATTATAATTATAATACAAATTCTGACAAGAACATTATTACCTATTCAAATTTTCAAATTTTCAAAAAAAAAAAAACAATTTAATGATTTGGCTGTAATAGCTGTTTCCTAAAAGGTTCTTTCCTAATAAATTTACATACCTAAAAGTCTAATCCATTTATCAACATGCTCTTTGGTGTCTGTCGGCGATATTCCTCTCAAAATTGCCATTAGTTTTAAAGTTTCTTTTCCAGTAAGTTCATCATTTATCGCATCGAATTGAGGACAATAACCAATCAAAGAAACATACTATACAGCATTATTAATTAATTCATATAAACATTTTTACTCCTACTATTGTTTTCTATTTTTTTTTTTATTAACCTGATTCATATCAGAGCTGAGTTCGTACAACTTATCAGTATCAATAAGAATAGAAGCGTCACCTTTTGAAGGAAATGTATCACCAGTTAAAATTCGGAATGTAGTTGTTTTACCTGCACCGTTCACACCGAGTAATCCAAAACATTCTCCAGGGTAAACGACAAAACTTATACCCCTAACACCAGTGAATTTAAAACTAAACTTTTTAACTAAGTCATCGACCACCAATAATGGTAATAAATCACTATCTAGAATGTAAACATACATTTTAGTCAAATTTACTAGTGATTCGTTTACAAAAATGTTTCATTACTTGAATGAGTTTTAGCTGTAACTACTTTGTCTCTTTCTCTTTCAACATCTGGATCTTCGTTAATATCTCTATAACTAACACCAGTGCCATAGATTTTGTTAAAAACAAACTGATATAACCAATCAAATATTTTGTAATCAAACAATAATATAATGGATATGTAGATTATGCTACTAAATAATAAAAATAAAGTTTCTTGTAGTATTCCATTAGGATCTTCATCAGATTTGAAAACAAAATAACTTTTACGTTCGGAACCAATAGCTAAAATGTTAAAGTATAGTATAAAAACTAATGACAGTTGACATAAACCAAAAAAATACAAATAAAAACTAACCTCCACACTTTTCAATTATTTTAGATGATTTACATACTGTACACATATGATTTTCCCATGTTATGTGTAGAAATCCTGATATACACAATGAATATGAAAAATGTGGAATAATCAAAATTATTAACCTTATTATATTTAAAGTGTTAAAGAAATCAATTTTATTTTTATCTCTTATGAAGTCTTTCAATATGATTAAGAAAATACATGTAAACAATCCTGTAAATAGATTAATCTCAACATTATTAATAATGTAATGGCTAATGACTATTACTCATAAAAATATATATAACAATTACCCAATATAAAATTAAATGCAATGTACAATAACATGGAGCTGATTAGTGTCTTTTTTAAATAGCTGTATACATATGCATAGAATATTGCACTCCATCCATAAATAAGTATTAATGTGAATAGAGCACCTATAAAAATCATATTTAATTCACACATTTATTAACCTTGATTGAAAATGTATAGTATAGTAGATTTACTTACCAACTTCATTTAAACCAGTAAATATGTTGTTTTCGTCCGATAAATACATAACGGTCAATGTTAATAAAACCACAATTATGTAACAAAAATAGTCCCAAATAAAACAAGTACCCCAATACATGATTGGCGAAAGTTTAGTCATCATTTGTAAGTGTTTGATTCCACTTACTCTTTCATTTAATGGTAATGCTATAAAATATCCTACTAAATACAGTAAACCAGGCGTGAAAGTAGTGATCCAAAGAAACACTAATGTAATAGCTAATGATTCATTACATTCATTCTAAAAAAAAAAATATTATATCTTCATTGTATATTTAATTATGATAAATACCATACAGTACTATCCATTTTAATTGGTTCATTAACAGTTGAAATATATGATTCATAATTTCCGGACAGCTTTTTTAATAGAGCATTAGAATAGAGATTTATTGCAATTGCTGGAGTATGAATAGCGATATTATTGTATAATAGAGTTGATTTTGTTCTGTTAAAGTCACCAGCAATCATAATATTTGTTCTGTAATTTAATACGTCTTCTTTGCACATTTTTAATAGTTCTATAAAACAATATTTCACTATTAAATGTATTTTTAATTTGACATAAAATTATGAATACATAATTCAAATTTGTTGGCTGATTTGTGTGTCTTTTAAGTTTTATTGACAATTATAAAACATTACAGATTCCGAGTTACAATATATTATAACTTATAAGCT